CTTGCTTCGCCGATGGCTGGTGGTCATCCATGTCTAATGCGGAACGCTGGGCGGGCGAGGGCACCATTTAAGTGTTAACTGGTATCAGTATTATTATTACAGTAAATCAGCTCATTGTGGCCATCCTCATCCATGTCAACCTCGCCTCTTGTCCAAATCGTCCTTCCCTACTTTCACAGGCACCAACACTTTGCCCTTGATTTTTTTTTTTTTTTTTTTTTTTTTTTGAGACAGGGTCTTGCTATGTAGTTCAGGCTGGTCTTGAGCTCACTTTGTAGCCCAGGCTGCCCACGAACTCGCAAGGATCCTCCTGCCTCAGCCTCCTGCGTGCTGGGATTACAGGCACACGCCACCACGCCCGGCCTGCCCTTGATTTTTTCCTTCTATTTTGCTATTGAGTGTTGTGAAACCTGGACCATGTTCCCATACTTCCTAGATGAGGATGCGCAAAAATTGTATGTGGTTGAAAAAAACTGACTTCACTTAGAGCACTTAACTCCAATTGGCCTGCTTGTATTTCTCAGAATAAAGCAAGAGCACATGTTTTCTCTCCTGACCACTGCTTTATAATCTGAGTTTGATCCCTCCTCCAAGCAAATCTCTAAAATCTCTGGAGGGTGCACATGGATGCAACTCGGCAGACGTTCGCGTGCGTACTGGCTCATGAAGAAACAAACAGGTTTCTAGAGAACACCTTGAGATGCAATTAGATCTCCCAGAGCTGCTCCATCTACAGACCACACAGAAAAAGACGCAGTTCTGACTAACCTTCCTTCCTCCTGATGAGGGCGTAAGTCTGAGTATTCATCAGAGACTGATACCCAGGAGCACGATTTTACAAATACAGTCATGTACATTTACTGATTTTTACTGTCCATTTAAAGGGCCTATCAAATGAACAGAAGCTGTCATAAAATGCTTTTGCCCCAAGCACTCTTGGAATGAGACATTGGGTCGATAATAATAATGGTGTATTCCACTGGGGACCAGCAAAAGCATAGCAGGAAAGAGCTTGGTCTCTGGAGCCTAGACTGCCTGAATTCAGACTCTAGCCCTATGACCTTGAGATGGTTCTCCTCCTCCCTCAACAGATTTCTCTACTGAAAAACTGAGAAGACCACAGTTCCTACTTTATAGGGTTCTTGACAGGCCTAAAAGAGAAAACACGACATTCGGAACAGCAGCTGGCCATCAGAGTGCTAGCATGTATACAGAACATGTTCCATGTGCCAAGGAGTTTGCAAAACATTTTACCTCGATGCTTATTTATCACCATGATAATAAGCTGGGGTTGAGAAAGGTTCTGTGAGTTTACAGTCTGACTGCTTTGACTATTCAATTCTAAATTCAAAAGTTCTTATTTTAAAATAGCATTATCAGCTGGGTGTGGTGGCACACGTCTGTAATTGCAGCACTCAGGAGGCTGAGGCAGGAGGATCCTTGTGAGTTCGAGACCAGCCTGGGCTACAAAGTGAGCTCAAAGCCTCCTGAACTGCATAGTGAGACCCTGTCTCAAAAAGCCAAAAATAAAAAGTAAAAAATAAAATAGCATTACCACTAACAAGCCATGTGCTTTTAACAGGTACTTCTGGGAAGCTCCCAGGCCTCCCTTCTCCCTCGAAGTTAATCAGACTCTTTCCTGGGTTCTCTTTAATATTAAGTAGCTGCTTAGAGCCATTTCAATTTATCTCTCAAATCAAGCTGTGGTTGTCTGACAGCACATCCCTTTATCATCATAAACTATGACTTTTTTAAGGCAGAACTGTGTGCTATTCCTCAGTGCAGACTCACTAAGTATTTGGTAAATGTGGGTGACTTAAGGCACTCCACATGGTCTTTCTGACTCAGTAGACACTTTCACAATCAATTCTACTTTGATGGCCTTAAAAAACAAAAACATTACACTTCCTCCTTTTCATTAGTAAGTAATGAATACCATCACACCATTTCTGAATGTCACTTCAGGTCTTCCAAGGGATAAGTTTCAAACAGGCAGTGAGTTTCAAGGAGTGTGTGAAAATGTATGAGATCAGAAGTGGAATTATTAGTGATGTGTTTTCAAATTATTCCTGTCGCCAGAGTCCCTTAGATAAACTATCGCTTATCATCACATTGGGTGATCACTGGCCAAGTCTGTTTATAACATATCTGAATTTCATAATTTAGTCACATTATGAATGAAGTGAGTATCTGTGGACTGGCTCCCAAGCCATCCTCCACGTATGATTATTTTTTATGGCTGTAACAAACACGCAATTTGCCAACATTAATTTAAAACAATAAGCTTCCAAGCTGTTTGTTTTTCATTTTGTTTTATTCCATTTTTGAAAATTTAGTGTAGGTTTAAAAGTAGGCAGTTAACTGTAGCCAGATGTGGTGGCTTGTGCCTGTGATCCCAGCAGGAAAGAAGAGGCAGGAAGGTAGTAAATTCAAGCCCAACCTGGGCAACTTAGCCACTTAGCAACACCCTGTCTCAAACTAAAAACTGAAAGGGCTAGATGTACTCTTTTCCACTGCTGGTGGGAATGCAGACTGGTGAAACCACTGTGGAAATCAGTTTGGAGATTCCTCAGCAAACTAGGTCTAGAGGTCCCATTCAACCCAGCTATTCCCCTTCTGGATATTTTCCCAGAAGATCTGAAAGGTCATATCACAGCGATATATGCGCACCCATGTTCATAGCAGTGCAATTTGTAATTGCTAAACTGTGGAAGCTACCCAAATGTCCATCCACTGAGGATTGGATAAAAAAATTGTGGTATTTTTATATAATGGAATATTCCTCAGCTATAAAGGAAGATAAACTCAAGGCTTTTATAGGTAAACGGTCACAACTAGAGACCATACTCATAAGTGAAATAAATCAGACCTGCATGTATAAGAATCATATTGTCTCACTAGTGTGAGACCCGAAAGAGTGAATAAAAACTAGGAGATACGATAGACATTGTGAAACAAAAGGAAAATGCTGAAAAGTAAAGGGCAACTGGAGTATGGGAAAGGAGAAGGGAAAGAAGGGGAAATTATGTAAGTATGTATACAGCTAACGTAGTTGTACTACTGTCTTCCACTGCTCTACAGAAAGAAACAGTTAATGATTCCTTGTTTGATCAATCTTGTATGTCTCTATTTGTTTTCTTGAGAAACCACTCTGAAGATATCAATACATAATACAACAACCATTGTTAATTTCCTGCCACTTTGTCTGTAACTCTGTTCTGTTTGTATTGTTGATGATGATGATGTGTAGACCATCCTGAGGTCTCAGCCACGTCACAGATATCCCCACGAACTCAGTGGACATTTGCACAGCCTCTGCCCTCGGGAGCCCAGTCTGCTGCTACAAGTGCACAGCCCCTCATCAGCACCTACATGTGCACTGCAGCCCGTGAGAGCCCCCACCTCTCCAACTCCTTCGCTCCCACAGTGGACACCGATGGTTAATACCAGCTTCTCTGGACATATGCCAGGGGTGTCTTCCCCAATTTCTGTAATCTCATCCCCCCCACAAACACCCACCCAAACATCCACCTTCCATTACAGAATGCTGTTTCCCGCCTCGCTTGCCACAGACCTCTGCTCCCACCCTGCCTGGAGCTGTGTTCTCTCCCCGCTGAGCCAAAACGTCTGGTGCAGGCACAGCGTCACCCGCCCTCCCTTTCAGCAGGCTAGGAGGCAGGCTGGGTGACTCAGCACGCTGGGCACCCATGGAGGGCAGGAGAGTGGTGGCCAGGGCCGAGGCCACCTCTGCCGCTCTCACTGGGCTCCCATCAGTCTCCCGCCCCTCCTCCTCCTTCCTGCTCCACCCTCCTCTTCAAGGCTGGGAGAGGCCAGCCAGCAGCTCACAACAGAAGCCTGAAGCAGCTCAAAGCTGTTGCCCCAGAAACCCAGAGAAGGGGAGGACTGGCTAGGAGGTTTGTTTTTCCGTAAATCACAAATCCCTCTGGGGGACTCTAGGGGGGCTCTCTGCAGCCTAGGCGTCTGTCATCTAGGCTGGTGCCCTCCAGCACCCCCTGGAGGAAGAGAAAGCCTCACCTCTGCATTATTGTGGGAAGCTGAAAAAACTGAGAAAAGAGCCCTTCCCCCGCCCCAGAGATAAAGTGGGGACTGGGGAGGAGAGGAGGCTCAAACCTCTGACTGCAGACACAAAGTAAAAACACCCACTGCTCTTGGCCTTTGCAGGAGAATCTCTAAGGACCCACTCCGTCCAGCCCTTTCACCACTTCTGAGAGGGAAATAACACTGCTGAGAGTAGGGAGGAAAGACCATCTCCGAAAGCGCTCTCTCCTGTGCAGTACACACACCCATAAACCACACTGGCTCTGCAGGGTTAAGGGTTGATTTCCACAGTGCTCTCGCTTGCAGCTGGGTAAAACAAGCCATCCCTCTGCTGAGGCTTTTACAGCCAATGCAAGGGGACACCGGGAAACAGAACAGAAGCCCTGGGCCCTCCCCTGTATTAATTAATCAGGAATGCATGATGGTAAACCCTCTAACACCCCGGGGACAGAAAGCTGCTATGGACACAGGATGCCAGCGGAGATGGTACATGGAAAAAGAGCCCAGGCTGCTGGGCTATGCATCGCGGTCCTGTATACTAAAAACCACTTATTCATTCAAGTTCAATCTGCGTAGCTCAGTGCCCCTGGACAAAAATGAAAACGAAGGCTGCTTTCTCTGGGCTTCCAACAAATACTGGAGGAATCACTGGGTTAGTGCTCTCTGGTGGCTGTGCATGTAAATAGGAGTCTCTAAATATTTCCTTGAATTTTAAATATATTGATTTATCCAACCAGAAAGCAGAGCCAAACAGCCTAGTCATCAGCAAGGAAACTGCCCCAGCGGTGAAAGGAGGAGAAGTAAACGCTGTCATCATCCTCCCCCACCTGGAGGACACATCTCTGCCGGGGGCACGGCGCCTGGCTAAGGCCCCAGAGAACACAGAACTGGATTTTCAGCGACTCCGGTCCCCACCCCCTCCCCTCCCCAACCACACTTACCTGCTATCCTGAGCACCGCCCTCTCGGCAGGGTCCAGCACAGAGCCCCCTTGAATCTTTCTTTTGGATCGCTCATGTTTAGGCAAATTCCAGGGTAAGGTGTCTCCAGGGGCTGGAGATGCTGAGCCAGATTTCTGGCTGAAATCATCCTCGTCAGAAAAATCCGCAGAGGAAGACATAGAGCAGCGATAGGATGCGTTCCCAGAACTCTACGGAGGATGACACAGAGAAAAGCATCAAACGCAGAATGCTCACAGATGCTCACACATTTACACAGCACCCCCCCACCCCGCCTGCAGAGCGCCTCCGAATTGGGTCTGCAACATCCTCAGAGACTGGGGGGACACAAACAAAAATGAAATGAAACCCAGCCCTCACCATCTTCACTCGGCCAAGTCTCCAACAGCAGGAACAATATCCAAGCAGTTGTAATACATGAAGATTTGCACGGAAGAAGTGTGTGGCCTGCGGTCCGGCCACCAGCTCACAATGACGGGCCCAACAATAAAGCGAGAATCAACAGCCTTCCTGGAACAAATCTAGAGTGTCTGGCTCCCCCACCAGGACAGGAGAAACATTTTCCGTGCCTAGACTGCTGGTTAATTCATCAAGGCAACTAACTCCAAGTTTCAAAACAAAGCACAAATGCAGGATGTCGGTCCCACTCCTTCCGTCTCGAGGCGCCTTCTCACCAGCCTGAGCCCTGTGTCCTCTTTACTCGGTTTTCTTCCTGAGGCTGAGGCAGGTTCCGAGAAAAGAGCAAGAGGGGAGGAAGGGCTGATTCTGAGAAGAGCCTTCTCTTAAGACCGGGAGAGCACAAAAGATTGTTTTCACAAGCCTGAGGCGGTGCCAATAAACAAACATCTCAGTTTAGAGTTCTGGAGATAATTTAAACTTCGAGCAACCCCACAACTGCCAATAATGTAAATGAGAATGATGCAGGCAGCGACGGGAAACAGGTCTTCTCAGCTCCCTGGGCACTGCACAGTGAAACACGAAACTGCTGTTGTTACGGGAGCACTTTGCCTGAAGGTTACTCTGCCCTGAGCCAGCAGGGGCCATCTGCAGGATCACATCTTGCATAAAGGGTTACATCTTCCCATTGAAGAAAAAGGCACCAGACCTTATTCCTTCTCATTTTGCTGGGCTGTGCCTATTTCAAGAGCCATGGCTGGCTTACTAAGGAAGCCAAGATGCTGAATATCTGGGCTGTGAACAGTTATAAATAAAGCATCAAAGGGAAAACCTCTACGTTCCTGTTCCTCTTTGCTGAGGCTCAGAGAGATGATGTGAAACTGGTGTAGCTGGAATTCCTGGGATGTAAGTTGCAGCCAGGGATTCCTACGAAGCAGGCTGCAGGCAGCAATCAGCAAGGCATGCTCTGAGGGCAGCCAGACTCTGAGGGGCTCACAAAGGCAAGGCCACAGCAGCACAAACAGGCTGTGTGGGCCATGTCCAGAGCACTCTCCCAGCATAATCTAAATGCACCAGGACTACTGGCCGCACCACCATCTGCTCAGGCGTGTGTGGCTAAAACACTGCCAATACCAACATTTGAAAAGCGCACACGCTCCTTCCCACAGTGAGGCACCTAACACGCAACTGTAGTTCTATGCTCCTCCCCAGACACTCTTGCTGTTTATTTTACAAGAAATGTTATTGCCTTGGCTAACTGAATAAAGTTATTTAGATTTTGTGCACTATCCTAGCGACAATAAGACATTAGGCAAACCTGAGGCAAATAAGTCAGTAAAATTGATTTTCTGTACTGTAGCTATAGTCCATAGAGAGATGGGAGTGGCATTAAGTCAGTCACCGCTTGGTACTGTCAATCCAGTTTATTTTCCATGATTTTCTGAAAATTCACCTTACGCTTTCTGAGGTTTTATTGTCGTGGGATCTGTGGGGAAGGATGAGATTCTTAAAGACTCTTAAAAATTTATTGGGTTTCTTTGGTAGTCTCCTGTCTGCCTTAAAATGGCTTCCTACCTGTCCTTAGCTAAGGTCATCCTTTATCTGTGGGACTGTATTTCTTCTCTGCACAATTTTAGTGACTATAGTGATTTGATTGTGTATCTTTGCAGACAGATTCGAGAAATAACTGTTAAAGAATCGCACCTTCCTAAAAACCCGTGGTTATTGATTTTTTGCACGGTAAATTTTTTTAATGGCTAGAGTCTCAGCTCAGTGAACAACAAAGTGTGATTTATGCCATGGCACAAACACTATTAATCACACACAGCCAGATGGGAAGGGCCACTACCCCAGACCCAAGGGTGTTGGCGAGTGCAGCCTCCAATCTGGTCCTGTCATTGTAAGCAGATAAAAGCAAAAAAAGAAAAGACAAGCAGCAACACCTCTTTCAGCAATGTATCACAGGAAAATACAGACCACACACATACACAAACTGAGGGAAATTACATGAATTTTTAATGGTAAAGGCTCTCCCCGGCTATGTGATTCAAGAACTTTAACAATTACAAAATTAGATTTTTTTTCCTCACGAAAAAATTTCATAATCACTTTTTAAAATGTACGGTAAACAATAAAAAAATTAACCTCATTGGAACACGGAAAATTGAGAATGGATTTAAATAAACCTGCTGTGAAGTAGATGGATCCAACAAAACTATTTTATTATTGAGTTGAAATAATTTGCCAATTTAGGTCATATTTGAGGGGTCTAGAGGGAATAGTATTGTAGAAAATAGTTTACTCAGTTAACTTATAAGGAAGGCAGCAGTTAGTGGAAGGGCCTGAGATAGAGTGGGGTGACCAGCCACACTGATAAAAATTCAGAGTAGACAGTGAAGTAGGACTTTGGACAAACAATGAATTCCTCAGGCAGCATGGACTGCAGCCCACTCCCCTCCTAAAGGGACAATATGCAATTGCTCCCTACTAAATTCCTCAATTTCAAGGAAATTATAGTGCAAATTCACCAGTTTCTTCTGAGGTTCCTGTTCCCAATTGTCATTTTAAATCCACACAGCCACCTGTGATAGGTGACCACTGAACAATGCAACAATTCCTGGGCTCTATAATTAGCTCTAGATCAAGAGGCCATGCAACCACCTCATTAGAAACCCCTCCTAGAAAGCCAGGAGTGGCTTCTCTGCTCCTGGTTTCCAGAAACACTCTCCTAACTTCTGCCTTTGGTTCATGACTTCACTCCTTGGTGTCTGCAGAACCAAGAGCCCGGAACACACGGGGTCACCATGAGAGTGCAGTACTTCTGTGGTTTGTTTGGGGAAAGCAGAATTGTTCTCTGAACAGTCTGGAGTCCCTGCTGTGCAGCTTAGAAAAGCAAGGTAAAGGACGAGGGCTCCTGGGACACCAAAAGCCAGAGGCTCCAATCTCTGACTGTTCTCTCACTGCCTAAGGTTTAGTTCCTATCAAAACACAAATCTCCATGTCCATCAATAGGTGATTAAATAGGTTATTGAATATCCATGCCAGTAATTAAAGAAAAATGTTGGTGATTAACATTCAATAAGGAGAAGTCATACAGAGAATGATTCCTTTTTTGAAAAACTGCATGTGTACATGCAAATGTAGACAGTCGGATATTTACCAATATTTACAATCTCTGGGTGATGACTAAGATGATAAATATATTTTATTTCTTATAATTTTAACTCTAAAATAAATACATTAAAAGGTTACCAAAGGCTGGGGATTTAGCTCAGCGGCACAGCACCTGCCTGGCAAGTGCAAGGTCGTGAGTTCGATTCCCGGTACCGGAAAAAAAAATTAAAAAAAGAAAGGTTACCAAAAAGAAATGCCCAAATATCAAAATCTCTCTGAAGAAGCAACTACATAAGGCAGTGTTTTTAACTATTTAGACTCATGGACACCCCTGAAAAGTTAATGGAATCTCAAGAAACTGCTCTCTAGAACAAAGGGAATAATCAGCTACACATGAACTCTGCATACAGTGTGATGGGATTCCCTGACCTACTGACCCACTGACCCTTGGCCCAAGTTAAGGCTCCAATTCACACTCTCATTTGTCATCAGCCACTTGGAATGCATGATGAGAGCAAGAAGAACAGGAAAAAGCTCTTCTACCAATGAGGGGAAGGGTAATTAGGGCAGTGAGGAAAGGTTGGCCTTGGTCATAGCATTTTTAGTATTTGGCCTCTTTTTGTATAAAGGACTGTGAGCTACCACTGGACTGATATTGAGTTTCTGTAACCCCCCCCCCCCGCAAAAAACCTAGGTTGTGACAAACTAAAAATTCCTATATTGTGTCTTCTACAATCTAGTTATGAAAGCAGTTTTAACAACTGAATTAGATCACTGAAGGCTTTAAACTGACTTCCCTAATAGCCAATTCATTCACACAGTATAAAAATAATCCAAATCTCCTAAGGTCAGGAAAACTACCTAATGCAACATTTTTCAGAAGGGGGACCTGTGCAGGGCTTGAGATAAGTGCAATGGAACTGCCTAAACTGGTTTGGGCCCCGCCCTAGCACCCTGATCTGTAGGAAAGTACAAGAAAGGCAATGGGAAACAAGTCCAGAGGGAAGGGTTTATAGAACAGCCAGACAGACTTTCAGAATCCAGAGGCTGGAGGGTAAACTTTCTGAAGCCAACGCACTCATCATTTAAACACATCTCTCCATGTGTATTTCAAAAGAATTTTATATAAAAAACAGAAGGAAACAATTGGACAAATTCTGATGGTGTGACATCCTATAACACAACTGTCCTAGGCTCTGCAAAAAGCCAATGGTATAACGTATACGCATCCCAGGGTTGCAAGACAAAAGAGGCCTAACAAAGTCATGAACCATCATTGGGTTCTGTTTTTTGCTGTTCTTCTTTTTTTTTTTTTTTCAACTAGACAAACACTTTGGGAACTGCCTGAAAAATCTGAACATGGGTCATGGGTTATTAAGTAGATAATATTAGGAAGTGACTGTTAATTTTCTAACTTGTGACAGTGGTGCTGTGGTTATGCAAGAAAGTGTCCTCTTCCTTAGGAGATTCAGGCTGAAGAAACTTAATGTCTGCATTTATTTTCACTTAGTGATTTTGAATAAAAACAGAGATCTAGTAAATGTGACAGAGGATAATAAAAACTACTCACTGGACTATTTTAACTTTTCTGCACATTTCAATTATTTTCCAAATGTAGAATTGGAGGAAAATATGCAGTGAAGTCTTTTTCCCGTATTTTTGTTTGTTTTTTAAGACAGAG